CACATGAATCAAATTTAAATCAGTTTGGATTTTGGATATGTTTATTTGGATTATACAATAAGTTGGGAACGTTCCTTCAATATATTGTTCTAAACGTTTGAGCATTACACTCCAAATGCTTGATATGCATCAAATTGTGGCAGATCTAAATGTGAGTAAGGTATACTGAATGTTACGGATATTTGATGACAGATATTTTAATAAGTTTGAACCTATATGGCAGCCCACACAGTGTGGTATGTTACCCCATACTTAAAAAAATAAACGGCCATTTGATCACAACTACCAAAAAGTTAGGATTTGTTTATGTTATACCTAATATGCGCTTCTATTTATGAATAATCATGTAGGTAGATCATTGAAGTTTCAGACTATGCTCCCTTCAACCCACAGCACCCATGTTCTTGAAATTTCACCAGTACCATACAAATTAATTGCATAAAAAATATCCGCTACCTTGCGTTTGGACGTAGATTTTATACGTTTGTTTCTCTTTTTAGAGATTTCCCATATAGGAAATAAGCTATTTGAACGAGTTCGCGAACCAGCGAGATTCGACCATGGGAACGGGGTTTTATGGGGGGGATTTACGGGGTAAAAATTGGGTTTTCTCAATTTTGACCCTCAAAACAAGAAACCCAACTTCTTTCGAAACGATTTTGAAGAGCTTAAAAAGCGTTTTTATATGGTTTTGGTTACGAAGAAAATTCAAAAGATTATAAATTATAAATTCCCATGCTATTCTTATAAAGAATAAGTTAAGTGTTGTAATTTGCCTTTTTATGGATATATTTTGATCAAACATGGCAAATTTATTCATGTTATACTAAGCTATTAATAAGTCTGCTGGTTTGCTGCGGCGGGGGTATTTTAAAATATGGACCTAGAAAAACACTACAAACACATAGAGATGTGTCTCAATGTCAACTAATCCTTACTCAATTTTGTCCGTTCCACCACCAAGGTATTCCACACCAGCAAATGTATTCTTAAGTTTACTTATGCGTTATTCTGTAGAACAACGCATCGGTTAAAATGTGTGATGACTTCCAAACGTACGCATGACACCTGCAAATGTATACTTTTACGTTATAAAGAATATAAAGTATACTTTTGCGTTGGATTTTATTTAGAACAACGATCGCATTGGTTCTATGTGTGACGACTGCCAAATATACGCATATCCGCGATGGTCGTGGATGCGGATATTTTTCTGACCGGGTCCAATGGTTGGGGGAGGGGGGTTGATGTATTCATTCGCAAAGCTATTGACAACATTTCACCATTAATCTTCCAAACCCCCTTGCCGTTTGAAATTGCCATCGCTATCGGAAAACTTCCATCGGCCATCCAAATTGAGTTCTTTATTATAAATATGTTCACACTCCAATCCCGTTGAATCAAAGCCATCTGTGACAGTTGTTATGTTTTCTTTTGTATAAATTTCAACGAATATCAAAACGTCATATGGAAAGAGTTAGATGTAGGGTATAGTATTTTTTTACTGGTATATATATATAAACATGAATAAGTAGAGCCGTATTGTATCTTAAAGTAGTGCATACTGTTTATTGGATGAGAAGTATAGTTATAAAGTATAGTTTATAAGTTATAGATAGAAGTATGAGTTTGAGTCGTATCTCACAGTATTTGTGTAAGTGTATGGGTTATATTGGCTGAACAGTACCAGCCAACAACAGTGTTGAACTAAGATGTATAAGAGAGAGTTTTATTACAAGTATATGGTCTGAAAAAATTGTATTTGTTCAATTAGTACTACAAAATATATGTATAAATGATCGCATCTAATGTAGTGTATGCATATTATGGGTTTATTGGCTGACAAGTACGTCAAACTACTTTGTTAAACGTGTTTAATATATCTACGTAATCAGAAAGTTCACTCAACCAACTTCAATAAAATCAAGAGAATACCAACTGTTTAACTAAGTCTAACTACAATATTTAGGACAGTTTGTCAACTCCAAATGTAAACAGTTTTAATAGACGAGAAAATAAATGGAGTAATCAGCTATGACTCATTTAGTTAATTGAGTTTAATCAACATTATTTTTAGACAAACTAGAGTAAATACCTAGTGTTTATTATCTGTAGATGACTACAAGCAAGTAGTTTATACATTTTTTGTATTTATAAGTTATTCGAAGGCTTGCAATTGGTTGTGTACAATATAAACATCAATCGTATAACTTTGCAATATATATATGTTCTTTGAACTCACTTAAGGTTAAAGTACCTTTTTTCAGCACACTGTGTCTATTGAAAGAACTTATTGATAATAATAAGATAAGATTTGTGTCGCTATATATCGATGTGGTGATCGGTCGTACAGAACAGTACAGCATCTAGTATCAGCAACACAATGGTTGTTCCACGTTTATAAAATTCATAATATCACGTTCATAATATAATATCTATGTTTGATCATCATTTACAACGCTAACAATATTCTGCATGCTTAAGTTGTCAGTGTTAAATACTCGGAAGATCATTACACAAATGGAATTACATAAAAAGCTGGTTTTGGTTTACTGTGGTTATATCATGGTTTTTCCAGGTTATATACAGGGTGTTCGAAAAAGGTGGGTACATAATTTACGTAGTGATTCCTTAGGTCAAAATATAGAAAAAATCATGGATAATATTTTTTTCCAAAATCTCTTCGTTAACCTGATTTCCACCATTTTGTATTTTTTAAATAAATATTTTTATCTTTGAGTTTTGTCAACCAATCTTTAAGAAACTTAGTATGGATGTTAAGGTAGACGAGACCTATGTTAAAAAAACATCCATCTTGACTCAACTTAAGGTTTAAATATGGCGGCCATACTAATTTTTAAAACTTCAATTACGATTTTGAAAAAAAATTTTATTCTTGATTTTCTTTTTATTTTGACCCAAGAAATCACTACATAAATTATTTCCCCACCTTTTAGCGAATTTCCCTATAGGGGAAGTAGCTATTACCGTAGGTCTCATGGTAAGACTTAGGCCCGGGACCGATTTACTTTTTCATTTTGATGTCCCCAGAGGCCAAAAACACCATTCGTTCAAATTTTTATATATGTATATATATATATATATAGATATATATATATATATATATAGATTTATATATATCTATATATATATATGTGTGTCCGTGAACACGATAACTTGAGTAATTTTTATCCGATTTTGATGAAATTTGGTTTAAAGGTGTAAGGCGGGATAAACTTGAATGAGTTCGCGATCCAGCATGATCGGACCATGGGAACAGGGTTTTATGGGGGGTTTTATGGGGTAAAAATTGGTTTTTCTCACTTTTTACCCTCAAAACACAAAATTTCCCAATTTTTCTCTAAACCTTCTTAAAGAGCTTAAAAAAACAAACAATTCAGTATATCAAAGTGTTTTTGTACGGTTATTGGTTACGGAGAAAACTAAAAAAATTGTAAATTTAAAATTCCCATGTTATTCTTATGGAGAATATTGTAAAATGTTGTAGTTTGCTTGTTTATGGATATATTTTGATCAAACTTGGCAAATTTATTTATTTTATAGTAAGCTATCAATATTTTACTAAAAACACACTTTATTAGTTTCCTTGTAGCAGCAAACCTAGGTACTCGTTAAACCTAATGTTATTTAAATAGATCAATTGAAAATCGATTCAGCCAAATGGAAATTCGCTTAGACGGCAGGTTTGCTGCGGCGGGGGTATTTTGAACACCCTGTGTACCTAATAGCGTCAAACTGTCAGTGTCAGACTATCTACAGTTTTTAAATTCTTTTTTGTTTTACAGAAAATATAAATTTTACATATTATACAGTTTTTTCTTCTAGCACAGTATCTCAAATTATTTAAATTTTCTTACATTTAAAAAGACCTCTTCGAATAAACGATATATCTTTTTCTGAATATGATTCTTAACTAGCTTTCTTGAACGAATTTCGTTAATTTTATTTTTAATTTGGTGGAACATTAAAAATAAAATAAAACTCCATCACCTCTAACAAAAACTCCCTTCCTTTAACATTCGACATGTTTACTAGAAATTATAGACTACTTCTTCACTTAAATACACAACATCAAAAGCAAAATTATGTTTAAAAAAAACTCCAAATATATCTTGAACAGATGAACAGAAAGTTTGCATATTATCAGGATATTGTGAAATACTAAGTATAAACACTTCAATATATTGAAAACTGTGCAAAATATTTCTAAACCTCTAAATTCACTTGCATTTGCACAATCTGTTGGGCGTTCAGTCTGGCCCATACACGTGCCATAACTATTGTACAATATTAAGTTATGTGTATTAATAATATTGACCGTGTACTTCCCACAAGCCGTGTAAGAGATTATGAAACTGTAAAAAATTGGGTTATAGAAATTATTCTACCATTCCACTGTCTTGATCATAATGTTATTTTTATAGACAGAAGTGTTGGACATTATGTAACTTATAATTTAGTTTTGAGCATACTCCTAGTTGATGGTATGTGGCATGTAAAAGGCTAGAATTCCGATATGGGAATTATCGGAATCTTATCCCCCCACAATCAATTTTATGATCGAAATTGGAATATTGATCTATTATTCTATTACAGAATGTTTTAAGTCGTTGTGAGCAGTAATTAACCAAGTTAATAGAAAGTTTTGATTTAAAAAAACATACTTAGTTCGGCAATACAGAATGAGGTCTTTCGGCCTTGTTAATTTGAGTGCCTATTTACACACTTTAATATTCAACATTATTACTGAACCAGTAACTATAACTTTTGTTATTTAACAAGGATTTCATTAGAACTTGTCAAGTTTTTACGTGGACGATATGGCACTATTTTCTAGAAACAGGAAGTGATGGTACAGCATTTTACAGCATAGTCGAAAGAAATTACAATCAATGGTTACTACATTTTTTAATACACTATATTTCATAACAAGTAAAAAAAAAAAATGAAAGAAAAAAGATAAAATGTTGTAAAGTATATTATATTATTAGGAAATATAAAATACATTTTATTTATCAGGGTATGTACATTATATAATTAGCAATTTAATTGTGATATGTTTACTGGATCTACCTTAATTGCTTACTTGATGTACTAAATCTTGACATAAAATAAAGTTACTTGTTAGACATCAAGTCAATTTTAAAAGGGGAATCTTCATTCCTTCCAGAGGTAGGAGTAGTCTAAAGAACCAATTTTCCTCTACATACACCTGGCTCAACCTAGAACAAATTTAAAACTATAATAATTACAATATTAGGATTATAAGATATCGCACTAAACTATCCATTAACATTAAGTGTTGATTTTAATGTGATTTTAGGAACAAAAATATACAACGTTTCATAATCAAGAATCATAACGTGTTTCAATTACCTAAAACATAACAAGTAGAAAGTAATTTTAATCTTTTTTTTTAGAAAATTAATTGAAATTTAGCCATTTATTTAACCTTTGATAGGAAGGAAAAATGAAAATCGTTTAGTTTTTAAGACATCAAGAATCTAAAATTTGCTTTTACTACTAAAAATAGAGTAAAGTAAATAACTAACTACATTTTATCTTCCCCTATAATGTAATCATACCTGACATTTGATGTTAGTGGGCTTGTCACATAGGCAAGTGTCCGGGTTAAAAACCAAATGGTTTTTGCATGTTTGCAAGATCTTCTTCTTCCCAATACATTGGTAGTAGATTAAACTTGGACATTTTACTGGATCTGCGTAGTCAAATCCGTCTTTACACTGGTTTTCTGAAATCTGGAAATATACAGGGTTTATTGAATTATTTGACATGTCTCAGCAAACCTGCAGACTAAACAAATGACCACCTGCTTAATCATGTAAAAGGACTTTTACACATGGACGAACGCTTATTATATAGTGACTGAATGAGTACTTAATCTTGATACCACAAAGATCACAAACGTATTTTTTATTGAATGTTGAAGATAACAATGAAATCAAGACATTTGTTAAATGTTATGAAAATGTATCTAAAATCTCTTTGAAGCACAATCTACAACTAACTTGTCAAAATCGGAAAGTTTTCACTTTTTCATAATGAACGAGTGTTTGACGAACATAAACCTACACGTTATGTATTTAGTAGTTATTTGGACTCGATGAGCATAAATTTGAACAATATCGGTACAATTTTACTCGATTTAGAATTTTTCACGTCAAGTCTTTTGAAGTGGAGTGCTCCAATACAAAACACCTTTGGTCCCGATTTAGCTTTAATAGAAGATAACCTATGTATATATTTTACCGAATTATTCCTTCATAATAGCCTAACAAACAAAAAACATACTTGTTTTATTATGGACATGCTACAGAAATTAACTATATTCTACTACACTATCACAGGGAACAAGCTGGTCTTGTGTTCGATCGTGGGGCTTCAACCCCAAAGTGACGGACTTAAATACCGAAAATTGCCAATAGTTTTAAGCTATCTCCCATGATTCTCGAGGATTAGGCTGAAGTAATGTGTAAAACCGTTCTGCTGGAGTGTAGAATCTTAGGGATATGAAAGCGTCACAACATTAAACAAACTGCTGTTACTATCTGAGTTACTATGAAAAATAGTTTATAATTGAAAAGCGCTTGTGAATAAAGATGTTTAAATGCTTTCATCATACTGGTCGTCGAGTAGTCGTGTACTTTTCTTGTGTTCGTGTAGTGCTTTCAGGTTTGACACCACAGTCCACATTGTATGGCCAGTCGCAGACCCATGACACAGGGTTGAACACTGTCCCGGGGCTACATCTCTTCCTTACAGGTCTTCCATGGTCACACTGGTAGAACACCCGGCAGTCGTCAGGGTCCGAGAAATACTCACCTACAGGGCACTTCTTGGGAGGACCACCCTCCAGCCCCTGAAATAACAATACAAAAGTTGGCAGTTGAAACGACTTGACCAATTTCAAAATGTGAATCGTCGATAGTAATTATTTTTACCAGCTTGAAAACAGCTCTTCACATCGGTAGGTGGAAACACTGATACTTTTCTTTGAAACCCCCAAGCCTAGCATTAAGAGTCCTTGGAGGCTAGCGGCCATAAATAAATAAATAAAATTGTCTTTATTGGTTCAAGCGTTAAGTCAATTTTACAAAAATGTTTTTCTCTTACAACTTTCGTCATCTAATATCTAACAAACAATTAAAAACCAAAATAAGTACATAAGACTAAAAGCTATGCATGAAATGAGCACATTTTTATATTCGTTTTGAAGCCTGTTAAACCTTTTTCTCTTATTTTTCAAGGGACAGAGCCATATTGGATTATTGATTTTTTTTCAAACAGCTGCTGAAGCTATTTATCATAGACATTTTTTTAAATAACTAAGTGTAATTTAAATATCTAGGGAGATCAGAAAATTGCTTTGTTGTGATGTAATTGTTTTCCTAACGCGTCCTTGGAGGCTAACGGCATTTTGGATTTTCCCACCATAAGAGCAATGTTCTGGGTTCAATGATTGCGGAAGACGGCAGAATGGAAGAAGTAGTAAATGAAAGAATCGGGCTGGCAAGCAAATCCAATCCTTAGGCTCTTTGGAGCATAAGACAAAAGTTCCTCAATAAAAAAAATTCCAAAAAGACAAAGTTGGCAATGTACAAGTCAACATTTATTCCCACTCTAACCTATGGATGTGAACCCTGGAGCTTAACAAAACGGCACAAAAGCAAGCTCCAGACTATGGAAATGAGATATCTTAGGAAAATAGAAAACAAGACAAGAAGGAACAGAGTAAGGAGGGGCTATTAGAAATACATGAAATATTAAACCTTTATCAGCCACAATACAAGAACAACAATTAAGGTGGTTTGGACACGTACAACGGATGCCACCAACACGGATTTCTAAGATAGTCAAAGAGGAGAGGAAGGGAAATGTTTAAGAGGAAGACCGAGAAGGAAATGGACGATGTGGAAGAAGCTCTGCTGGAAAGGGGAGTCTCCCTTTTATTAGAGAGGTTCTACCAATCACTGCGGATAGGAAGACATGGAAGCGCCTTGTAACCTCGACACCGATTGGTATACAAGGAATTGGACAAGGAATTGGATACAAGGATTGGCATTAAGTAAGTAATACTAATTTAATAATAATTTATAATTTCAAACAGCCGCTGAAGAGCTAGTTACCATCTCAAAACCTTCTTTCAACACCAAAGTAAGAGTAATTTAAATATCCAGTGCACAATGAGATTATACATTTTCTTTGTAGTTTTGTAATTATTTTATGAGTTAGCAAGTCCAGGCTCCAAAGACTCTTAAATAGAATCTTAGACGAGAGCGTAATATAATAAGAAGAAAATCCATTGTCTTACGAATTAGTGATGAGCGGCCAGTCGAAGCTACTGGTGATGGTTAGAGTGATTAGGTTTTACGGATAAGTGGTTTGGTCAGTATGTGTTCACTGTGGTTGTTGTTGGCGTTGAGTTAATTGTAGTTTTTGTTGTTGTGGTTGTAGTTGTTGTTGGCATGAGTTTCATTTGCTCAGTAGATTGCAGTCATTCTATATCATTGACTATATATCGAAATGTTTATTGTAATAATACATTTTTATTCGTTGGTGTTGTTCTGCTAAAACGAACAGCTATGTACGATTTCATGATTGAAAACAAAGTCTGGCACAAAAGATTACAACTTTTACATAACCTGTTCTTGTTTTTTAAAATTGGTTTTTATTCAAGGGAATAATTAGTTCCAAATTATATTATTATTTTTTGATAAAAGTAAAAACAATCCGCTTTATATTTTTGATCATTTATGACCTATTTTGATTCAACAAAATGCCAAAATGCCTATGAACACAGGGAAATTACAATATATTTTTATATGATCATTATGAACAGCAAATGACCAAAATAAAAAATAAATATGAAACACAGACAAACAATCATATAGACAATACCTACAAATTATTGTCGATTTTGATAGAAAATACTACAATTCACAACAAATTTTAAACAATTTTGCAACGAAGAATGTTATTTTGATTTTACTAAAATATATTTTTGAATCAAATATATATTCTTAAACATTAATAATATAATAATACATTACACCTTCAGAAAAACTTACCTGTAGGCCAAGAAAAATAAAAGATAATAAAATGAAAATCATCTATAATAGGATATGAGCTATAGCCAGTATTTATGTCGTTATATATCTTTCCAAGGTAATAAGTAGTCTCATAAATCTTGTAAGTGATATTAATTAGTTTTGATGAATTGTCTTATTGTTTACCGTATATTAAAACAGTGAATCTTCTTGTAAGCCAGTTTGAATTTGCAATAGTGGAACGTAATTATTAACAATCAGAACATTACAATTTTATTTACAACTATCTAAACTTTAATTAAAGTGATGTCACTTTTCACTAGTTTCGCTTTGGTTATTATCCGGCAATGTGGACTTCATTGCACAGATTATACTTTAATACTTTTCAATGAAATGGCGACCACAGTACAGAAAGCCTTTCTTTGTCGCACACCAGTATTCCAACCAAACAACACAAAACAGCGTGCTTTTATTATGCACGTAATCCGTATACGCTTGAAACATTTAAAGATATTGCGACTACGATCAGCGGTGTAGCGTTTCCTATTTCGTTCAATCATAGATAAATAAAATGGCTAAAACCTTTTATCTATGGTTCAATTTTTTTATTTAACCTATCCAAAAAAACGTATTGTAGGCCTACAGTGCTTGAAAGACGATTATTCATATGATTTATAGTAACTGTAGGAAAAATATAATGTGTAACACGAGTGCAAACTGCCTTTGCTACCCACTAGTTAACTATTCACTAGGGTTATCAATTTTGGCACTTATAGATCTAGACTGCAATCCGATCTAGATAGTTCTTTATTACTAAAAAAATATACCGGATAAAGCACGACCAATAGGGTCTCTATTTCCTAGATCTCTTGCCACATCTGGAAAGTGCGGGAGCGCTCTTGCGTTCTTGTGGCGTCCTTTCCGATGTAGCCTTGTCTCTGGTAGATGCCTTCCTCTCCGCTGCCAAGAGTTTGACAGGGATAACTCCAGCAATCACCAAAACGGCCGGTTCGGACACCGTGCGGAAGCGACCCTGAGTGCTTCGTGATGCAGCACTCGTGCAAGACTCAACCTGTACGCTTTCTTGTTGAGCGCGTCTCCCACACCTCAGAGCCGTAGAGAAGCAAAGACTGGACTGCAGACATCAAGCATCTTCCACGGCTTGACCGAGGACCCCTGGCATTGGCCATAAGGTTACTAAGAACAGCGACACTCTTAGCAGCCTTGTCCACCGTGTGGAGAATCTGGTATTTCCAACTCAACCTGTTGTCCACCATGGCACTGAGGTACTTGGCGGTTTGAGTGGTTTGGACAATTAATTTCCCCACTCATAGCAAAACAATGGTTTCTGTCAGTTTTTTCTTAAGGATAATGATCTCTGTCTTGCTCAAAGAAAGTAACAGACCATGATCAGCCATCCAGGCATTAACTATGCGCATGACCTAGTTCAGTTTCAGTTGGGCCGTCTCAACATTTTGTACATCAATAAGGGCTGCTTCGTCATCAGCGTACCCAACTAAAACGGTCTCCTCAAGCATCTCAGATCTCAGAAGGCTGTCGTAGGCAGCGTTCCATAAATCTGAGCCGAGTATTGAACCTTGCGCAACACCGGAAGTGACATCCATCGTCCGCAATCCATTTTTCGTTGGGCGTTCAGCAGCGCAGATAGTCGTCAATGAGCCTCAACAGATACGTAGGTATGCAAAAGCTGTTCCTCAATGCGTTCAACATATCGAGCCATCTCGTTAAAGGTATTATTGACATCTAGGGTAACAAGAAGCACGACTCGGGGAGATAAATAATTGAAGTTCTCGGCACGCTCGACTGCTCTGTGTACCTCGGTTATTGTATCTATTGTTGACCATCCCTTTCTGAAGCCGTACTGAAGGGGGGGAAATCTCTGGCAGCTTCCACGGCTGACATCAGTCGTCAGTGGATCAACTTTTCAAATATTTTTCCGGTTATTTCAAATATACAGAGAAGTCTGTAGGATGACGGCATATCTGAGTCACCTTTCCCCTTGCTGATTAGGTAAAGTCTAGCCTTTTTCAAAGAGAGTGAGGAAACCCCTTCAGACATTCATGTGTTGTACATTCTTAGCAGCAACAGGGGGGTCGATTGAGAGTACCTTCTTGAGGGCCTCACTAGGAATCCCATCAGGACCAGGAGCTCTTCTATTTTTCAGGGTAATAACAGATGATTCCAACTCTTTGATGCTAAAGAGTGAAACGTCCTCTACCCTGCTGTAATCGATATAAAGCCACTGAGACGAGTTTCAAAAGTACTAAAGAATTTAAATATTTAGTTTAGGGGTTAAGATAAACAGCAAAAATAAAATAGAAGAAGAGATACTAATGAGGTTAAATGCTGCTAATAGATGTTACTGGAGTCTATCAAAAGTATTGAAGAGTAATACAAAAACTAGACTGTCGAGAAATACAAAAATTAGAATACGTACAACAATAATACAGCCAGTTCTCATGTAGGGTTCAGAGATATGGACACTTAAGCCTAGTCCACACTTAGAGACAAAGTCGGCGGACAGCGTGCCAATCGTCTACCGTCACAGTCTGTCAACACAGTTTTGGATACAAGTTTCCGATTAGTTTTGCGTCAACACTAGCCAGCCATAGTGTTTGTGGTATGGCGACTGAAAAGAACGTGATTTTATCCTGTGCATGCTTCTTACTTCTTAATCATGTGGCTGATGTACCGAGGAAGAGACAATGGTGGACCCGCAAATTTCTCTAGGAAGATTCGTACTTTTGTTAAAACCTTCTATCAGACCTTCGATTAGAAAAGGGCGCAGGATTTAGAAATTTTATAAGAACGACTCCGAAGGATTTTGAGATTCTGTTAAAGGCTTTGTTGGGCCAAAGATAACAAAGAAATGTACTTGTTACAGGGTTGCAATTTTGCCCTGACCTCCCGCTGAACAGCAGTGAGTTTGGGTTGTGTCCGATCTCCTGTCTCCAGACACGTCCGTCCACACATGCAGACTTGAGACAAAAGGCTTGTATCTTCCATCCGTGTTTCCCATTCGTATGGGAAACAGAAACACGTGAATTTGTCTGCCGACAGTCGCCCGTTCACCCGGAGACATCTTGAGATACAAAAGGCAACTCTACAGAGACAGTCGGTCAACAATGTTTCTGGAAACAAATCGCCAAGTGTGGACTAGGCTTTACAAAACAGATCCAGAAGAAGTTATAATAATGATTGAAAAGAAAGTAGGTATTTAGAAGGATTTAAGGGCCATTATTTCTGGGGTTTGGAGAATACTGAAAAACAGAGAAATCAGGAACCTATACAGAAGATCAGATATTGTGGTGTGTGGTGATGATAAAAAATAGGAGAATTAGGTGGCTTAATCATGTGAGATGAAGAGAGGAGAATGCAACAATAAGAAGGGTGTGGAGAGGTCGTGAGAAGGAAGGTGCCCATTAGAAAAACCAAGATATAGTTGGAATGACCAAGAGATATTAGAAGAATTAGGAGAGAAGTAGACATGTGGGGGAGGATAGAATAGTCTGGAGGAAACTTGTTGGCAAGGCAACAAAATCAACTGGGATGGCACATATACAAAATTTTTACTTCTTAGCTCAGAATAAGGCCGAGGTCTCCGTGTAGACCATTCTCACTGCACATGAGTGTTTGTGTGTTTTTTTTTAAAGACCACTAAATTTTCAACCAAAACAATGCTTTGTTGAGCAGTATAAGAAAATATTTCTGGAGCTTGAACTGTTGAACAGATATTTTACTGAAGTTGATTATTTATTAAATTATTACTACTATCGTTATATTAATTTAATTTTTTTAATGCTGTGTTGCTGAGCTAAGTAAATTTTACTCTTACAACAGATATAAAATAGAAAAAAACACAAGTAGCAATCTTCTTAAACATTTTTAAGGTAATTTGCATTCAACCTTTTATTTATTTTTAGAGTATTAACCTACCATTATGCAAATCTGAATTATTCCTAACTCTATATCAATTATTTAGCATGTTTATTAGAAACAAATTATTACCTGCCATATTATTAGTGATAATAACCCATTCCTTCATCAATTTATCATTTATCAAACACAGAATAATGACTCTACCATGTATATTCATTTTTCAAAATTTGCTATATGTAAAAGAAAATCTTTCATCATTCCCAAAACGTAACAATTTTCACAGTTATATTACTAGAGCATGTAACCAGCTAGATATTCCGATAGTAAGATTATCAAAATCAACCAATAGCCACAAATTCCTCCAAATACAGCTCTTTAATAAGCTACCTGTATTGTTTCAAGAGCTTGATTTTGATAAATTTAAAGACAGATTGGCTGATTGGCTTCTTGACAGAAGCTTTCATTCAATGGAAGATTTTTTTGGATGCCAAATATCTAATATATAGTTTTTTGTTTTTTGTATTCCTGTTTTAACTTATTTTCTATCACTACAATATACCTAATTCATAGAAAAGTAGTATATATTCTGACGTTGTCTATTGTACTTTTGTATTTAACGACAATAAAGGTATTCTTATTGTTATTCCTTGTAGCTTCAATCTCAAAAGTGATTTGTGCTCTAATCATAATTAATTAAGCCAGTTTACAGGCATGTTAAATCAAGGCAGCAAAGGATTGCTTCCTGGGACAGAGCAGCTCATTCTTGTATATGTAAAGTATCAGCGCGTCCTTTACTTGACATTGTTATGCTTTACTTCGGAGGTATTTGAGGCCTACGAGGAAGGGCAATGCTTAAAGCAAAAGCTAACCTCTTTTATAAAACAAAATAAAAATAAAATCTCCAATTTTTAGGGGGTATTACAGAATGTATGGACGAAGATAGTCTTTTATTAAAATAAATTTTTAGCCCCTGAGCTGTGATGTAACTAAAAAATAGGGTTTACCTTTCATCTACAGCTCAATGAGTAGGTAAACCCTATTTTTTAGATAGTCTTTTTCTGAACTCAATTTCTAGAAATTAAGGTGATATTACTTAAACCTACCAGAGGCTATAACCCATCATCTACAATCATCTTCTGACCCCAAAGAAAATTGTGCTGTAGCACAACAAAACCAGTAACATGTTTTTAGCCTCTGGATCATAAATTTTACAAATAAAAGTT